CGGAAGAGAAAAGAGCAGATGAAATTCTGAGTGTATTTTTTTACATCTTCTATCCATATTCTGGATCTTGATAAAGATAACCATAACAACAACTCTCAATCTGGCAAACACATCATTTGAGAGGAGAACAAACAATACCTCTGTTCTGTCGTAATTTGTAATTATTGTAGAATGAGTCTTGTTTCAATTAAATGTCTTGGAGAACTGTAGTACTTAAAGTATGAGATGCTTGATTTTACTTCAGACAGACTGCAGAGCTACTGTACATGTTATTTAAACACAGGTGAATTCCCCCAGTGACATATGCTTGGCCTCAGTGCAGCAGAACTATAATTTGGGAAAGAAACGGATAATCAGGCATATTTTTTTCAAATATTGGAGCTGAGCTCTGCAACAGCTTTCGTGAGATTTTTTAGCAATGAACTCCCAGGTGATCACGATAACTGCAATAGAGTATATACAAACTTTTTCAGAAGTCACCTCTTTCCTTTAATTTTCCTCTTACCTTGTACATGTAGCATTAGATGGAAAATGGTGAAAATATTTATGTGGCATAAAAAAATTAGCTCTTAGGGAAAGGGATGTGAGAATTACATATCTCATGCAGAGTAGCTGTGTGCATCTCTGTCTGGCTCTTGAGACACAAAGTCCAAAGCCGTTTTCATGAATGATCTTACCCGTAAACACAGAGGGGAAAACTTTACCTGAAGGGACAGATTGATTTTAAGTTTGGTTCTGGAAGCTGCAGAATACCTGCTGGGACTTGTTCATCACACTTGGATTCAGTTGTTTCATTTGATGCTAATGGTTTTTCATGCTTTGTCGGATTAAAGAAAAGTGCAGACCAAGTCTTTGTGTTTGCTTAGCTGCTTTAAATTGAGTAGTTCGAGTAAAGATTTAAAAGTAATCCAATGTATAAATGTGTATTGTATAATTGTAAAATTACAGAATCACAGAAGGGCTGAGGTTGGAAGGGACCTCTGGAGATCCTCTGGTCCAACCCTCTGCTCAAGCAGGGCCAGAACTGTATAATAGTTTTACATTGAGCATAGACCGTATCCGGAAAAAATAAACCGAAAGGCAATGTATGTCATTACTTTCTACATAAGAAAGCAATTTGTATCAAATAAAGCTTGCAGTAAGTAAAAAGAACTTTTTGACAAACCGTTAATTTCATAGCAAACCACTTATGGTTCTGATTCTATCCTTCGTATTTTAATTTTAGTAGAGAAAGTATAATGGCATGAGCATGTGTCTTCTTTCTTTTCTCATATTAAGATTTCATATATCCATTTTTATTTAGGAAACCTTAGCAGTTAGAGACAAGATTCCATAAAGTTATTTACACTACTTTATATAACCCTTTTTTTTTCAGAGAAGTACAGTTTAAAATGAAAAATAGCTTCATACTTGATTTAACGTTTGCTTTGAAAATAAGGGGGGAGGAGGAATCAAGGTTTTACTTCGACATGTCTTTCTTGTTTGTTGACCCAACTATTGACATGTTTATCCACTAATAGCAGAAATTTTGATGAATCTTTCTTGTTTATTTTCACACAGAGAGTTTGGATGGCGAGATCCAGAGCTTCCAGAAGTTATACAGATGTTACAGCATCAATTTCCCTCAGTACAGTCCAATGCTGCAGCCTACCTACAACACCTCTGTTTTGGAGACAATAAAATAAAAGCAGAGGTAAGATTTATAAACCCTTTTTTCAACAGTGATGCTGTCTGCCATTTATTGTCACCAATGATTTTTATGTACTTTTAAAAGAGTTACAAAAGAAATCATGGTATATACCTGGACCCATTTTACTCAAGCTTTCACTTAAGTCATTTGTTACCATTGAGAAAGTAAAAGATGCATGAAATATTATTCTCACTCATTTTTTTGTTTGGTTTTGCATATTTTGATTGATTGCATATTAAACACTGTGTGAGTAGTTGTTCAGTAATCAGCTAGTGGTATAGTCTCAATCCCACTGAAGCACATGGGCATTTCCTTAGGATTTTCAAAGAGAGATATTTTGGACACAAAATACAAACACAGCAGATGAAAATTAAGCAAAAGGATTCCAAATCAAAGCCTGGTTTAATGTATAATTGCTTGAGTTATGAGAGTTTAATTTCACTGGGTTTGCAGCTTGAACTGTGATCGTTGGTCTGTGATCTTGAAATTCAGTGCAGATTGTGTCTAAAATGTAATTCAAACAGACTTTGTTCTGTACCTGTAGCTGATCGGTACTTCTTGCTTGCTTGTTCCCTGTGGTTAATAAGACCAGTTTGGCTTTTGGCACAAGTTAAAACAGAAGGAAGGCAGCTCTGAGGGATCTGACAAACGCACAGGAGTCAATTAAAATTGAATGAGTGAAGCTGTTACCAGCCCCAGCTGCCTCCCCTGGCCCTCTCAGAGATACTGCTAATCAGGGATATGTGGTGTGCACATAAATCTGTGCTTGCAGTGGCATCTTTTAGCCTGGCATGTAAAGGTAAACTGAGATCAGGATATGCTCTTGCTTGTTTGTCAGAACCGTGCAGTAATGCTGGCTTGCTTGGGCTTTGTTATCCTCGCCCTCAGCTCATACCACTCCGTGGGTCTACCTGGCTATAGGAGCTTTCCCTCTTAGGGTTTTTCATGCTGAGGAAGTTCCTGAGTAAGAAAGCATGTGGTCTGCTGACACTGGTAGAACTGCGCTGGTTGCCTACATCACCTCCAACATCATAGAAATAATAATTAAAAAAATACTTAAATGAATGTTAAAAGAAAAATGTTCGTGCACTGGAAAAAAAGAATGTGTAACAGGTATTGCTTTTAACTGGACACTCTCCCCATACTCTTTTCTCATCCTTATTCACAAATTAGCTTTTCAGTAAAAGAATTGATTAATCTCTGAGAAAGGCAGTTAAATGATTAGAGCAATTTATTCATTGTACAGTCTGTGCTTCCTCCTGTTAGCCATAGATTGAGAGCCCTTAGGTAGCTATCGCATTTGAGGGAAGAAGATGGTTTGATTTTCCTTGCTATTTAAAGAAAAAGAAGACTGATTGTTGTTGATCTAACCCATCCCACTAGGACGTCAGCCTTTGTAAGCTTCAGGCTCATGAGCTGGAAGGGTGAAGGTAAGTATATAAAACAGTAGAGCACTAGGCAGCTCTCTGAGCTGCTTCTCTGAAAAAAGACTGACAGATAAAACAAGGATTTCCCCTCTTCATTTGTTTTTATTCAGAGCTTTGATATATGCCTTGCTCTGTAACATGTAAACTGTGTTTGGAAATAAGCCAAAATACTTTTTTTTTTTTTAAACAGTCCACCTGAGAATATGCTTTTAAACTTCTGGTACTGTGGATTTTTCTAAGAAAACAAAAAAAAAAATATTATGTATTGTATATTTTTCTAAAGCATTCAATGTTAGCAAACTGTTTTATCTCTAGTTCTATCTATCTGGCTATCTACCAATCTATAGTACGTAATGAAAGTCCTATTGTGCTTAGGCCGTGATTCAGCAGAGCACTTAAACAATTTCTGTGTTCGTTTATTGGAATCAGGATCTACCCAAGGGCTCGGTAGTGTGCTTAGGGTCTGCTTGAGCTCTCCACTGAATAAGAATTTCTTGAGAAGCCTTTTGTGTGAGGAGTTCAAAATGCTGTTGATACAGGGATATCACAGCAGGTATCCCAGACTCTTACTAGGCTTGTGCCCAGCCAGAGGAACCGGAGCGGTGCTGTTGAATCTACCTGGGACAACTGACGTGTTTACTGCTATGGATGTGTCTTGAGTTGTGAGTTGAACTAACACCTAAATAGTAGGAACAGATATCAAATTTCACTTTTCTGCAAAGTATTTGTGTTGCAGTTGTGTCTTGTGGCCAGTTCTTCTCTGTCTGAGAATGACCACATTTAATATCTGATTCCTTCTGCATGGAAAGCCGGGCGCTGGTCCTGCCGCAAACAGTCACAGGGAAACGCGCCAGCTAAGACACAAGATGCAGGGAGAAGAAGCACCAGGACATGTCCTAATTTTTTATTTTCCTTGTAACCTCTTGTCAAATTAGTAATTAGGAATTTTGGAAGTTCAGATGTAAGTCTGAGATTACAAAGCTGAAAAATTCCGATTCTTTTGAAGCACAGAAAACTCTGCTCTTTTACCCAATGCCTAGCTTCAACAGAGCAAATGTCTTGGGCTAAAGAAGGGAAACTGCCTTGATGGTCCTTCAAACCCTGGAGAAAGGACAAACATAGGAATGTGTAAGTTAAGAAAACAACCGTTATTTCGTATGCCTGACAGGCACTGAGGAAAAAGCAAATTGCATTCACTAAATAATTTGTTAAGTGTTAGTGTGTAACAGGCACTTGAACAAAAACACACACACACACACACACACACAGACTGAATAATATTGTGCAACAATTTAGTTTATTTAGTGGTTGCTGTGAATTTGAGATGTCACGCAATGGTTAAGGTTTCAACTCTGGAGTTATCTGACAGAAAAAAAATAAAGTTTATTTACCTTTATCACTAATGAGCATCAAATTGTCACATTGCAATTAATGGCTATTTTATCCAGAGTTTCTGGAAATAACTGTAGTGAAGTACTTTTTTTTTTATTCTTTTAAGCATGATTTATAGTGTATTACCTACCAAAAAGGTGATTAATGATCTGTCCTCTGAATCTGACCATTCTTTCAATCTTCCAGTTTTGTTTTTTTGTGTAGTGGTAAGCTTGTCCTACTCTCAAAAGAGTTTAATGGAATTTGTATGAAATTTCTCCTCGTGTACTTGGTAGGACGGAGGCCTTTATATTCCTTTTGCATCAAGAGGTACAGGTGTACTTCTGAATTTGATGGTGTCACTCTAAATGTACCTTTATTGCTACATAAGCGTAAACACCCTACTCAGTCTTTTATGTAGCATTTCTCTCAGACTAATGAGGTCTGCAGATGCCCTTCTCTAACTTAAAGGACTTTCAAACCAAGTTGGTAACTATTTAGGTGAAGATGCTTCAGGCTGGCTAGTAAGGTGTCAGAAGTAATTTGCTTTTTCACAAAAAAAAAAAAAAGCACACTTCTGGAGTGAATTAGGTTTTATATTTCTAGTGGAATTCTTATTTTTCCCCTTCTAGCCCTGAACATACCAGTACAGTGAGAGGTAAATATTATCAACACTGACCGTTGATAAAGGTGGTGGTGTTATTTCTTGAAGGTGCTACTGCTTCTATGCTGCTCAAAATTGTTCAGTGCTAGCCTTTATTTTAAAGTGTGATTGTAACTGCTGCTCTTACCTGAAAGTTTTCCACAAGTGCTACTTCAGAGTCTCCTTAAGTATTGCTTGACTGGAAGGCAGGCACTACATCTGCTGTCAGTAGCGCTTCTCATTCTCTACCTTTATTCCCAGTGCTTGGTGCTTAGGTGGTGCAGCAGACATTAGACTGGAGTTGAAGAAATTGGATTATTTTGGTAATGTCTGATAGTTTTATTTTTCATCTTCTATTGAGCAGCTTAAGATCTCACATATGTGAAAGGGGACATGGGAGGCAGAAGGCTACAGGTTGTAAAAATTAGCAGGCAGCCCTTTACAGTTAGGCATAATAATTCTGAAAATCAGAATCTCAGAATACTTCAGCGATTCATTATAAATTATTCTTTCATTGATGACAGTGAAGAATGAAACTAAAAGGCAAAAGAAAAGGAGGGAAGAAATTTTGATCGGATATTTGAAAGCAAATGAGAAGTTGATCAGGCAGAAGAGCACAAGAAGACCCTTTCAGATGGCATTTTCCCCTTAGGAGAGGGCTCTTACACAACAATGGTGAGATTGTGAGAAGAGCCAGAGTAGCTGGTCCTGGATGCCAAGAAGGAACAGGCAGGGGATATAGGAAAAGAGAAGCATTTCAAAATAGTCAACAGAGAACATTTCGTTAAAAGAGCACATTCTGTTAAACACAGGATTCATTCTTCCACAGCAATTTTTCTTCCTATAATGACAGCTTACTCCTTTGTATGAGATCACCATATAAAAGGATTGAATTGTGCATTTTCACACGCCAACACCATTTTGCTCTCATGGAAAATGGCAGCCTGCCATCAGCTGCAAAGGTGTAACAGGTCACTTGGGGTTTTTGGCACCAGTGACTCCTTTCTACAAGCTAAGAAATTAATTTTTGACATCAAAGTCATAGTGCTTGAGGTTCTCATCTCAGGCGAATCGTGCAAAGATGCCAAATAAAATAACAGTAACTACTGAACTGTCCTGCCTGAAGCCTTCTCTTGCATCCTTAATAAACCTCACTGGATCAGACAGTTTCCTCTTTATCTTGGAGAGCATTCCCATATACCCACTTCTCACAGTCTTAGAAGAAAAGTATCAGTCCAGACGTTATTGATGATGTTCTAAAAAAAATAAGTGATTGCACACTGAAAGCAATTCTTTTCCAAACTTGCTCAAAACCATCATTGGCATTCATTTTGTCATTAATTTTTAAAATTTTTCTACTTCTTCTGTGAGTTCTTCAGAACATGCCCAGAGCTCTTTCTACACAAAAGCACCACTCTTTCATTTGTCAGGCAACACGCATAGACTATACTAAGCTCTTGTTTATCTTAATTATTTCTGTATTTATATAGCTCTCTGTTATTATTAGTGAGGGCTTGTTGAATATACATCTCTCTTTCCCATCCTCTAGTCTGTTAAGTGTG